ATATTTGCCTTTAGATATCGCATATCGCATGCTAATTATTTATGTTTCAATTTTTGCTTATCGATTTGCTAGATGCGTCTCATTTTTGATCTTATATCCATAGAATCCAAATTTGAGCGCAGATTAGATTCTTTGTTCTTTTTAATCTCTTCATGAGTGCATTCTCTTATCTTCTTCTTTGATGTAAGTTTTTTATTTTTCTAACCGAGAGAATCAACAACATGTTAGGGGCTATTAGCCATTATGTTTCTTAATCATAAACTGGTGAGAAGTGAACCCAGCAAAGCCTAAGCCCAACTAAACCATTTACGGCACATTATTGTACACAAGCCCATAAATATTTATACACAGTGTCTTAAATTAGAAAGTAAAAACAAAATATTTAAATGGAAAGCAATAGTTATGAAGAAAACAACAACAATTATTGATAGTCGCAGAGGGGTAGGACAATGCTGTATTGGCTCAGGCCTTATTTTCAGGTCCCAGTTTTGTGATCAACGTTAATGACTTTAGAGCATCCGTATCTATGAACTTTTGAAGGTATCATTAAATATAAAATTATTAAAAACACACTCTCTCTTCCTTTTACTTAACTTTATACTTTCTTTTTCATCATTTTACTCAACTTTTATTAATTTTATACTCTCTTTAAATATAAAATTATTAAAAACACACTCTTTCTCTCTTCAAAAGTATCAACTATTTGATACTTTTGATACTCTCTCTCTCCAAAAATACCCACTATCTCTTCTCTTTACTCAAATTTATTAATTTTATATTTCAATACACCCTATTATTTCAACAAAAAACACTATCTTTCTTCCTTTTACTTAAATTTTAATAATTTTATATTTAATGATATCTACCAAAATTCACTAATACGGATGCTTTTACTGCCCTGAGACTGAGATTATTGGTGTACCCCTAATCGTACTAATTAAAAAAATACGTCAGTAATAATTGAAAAAGTAAGTATCAAATTTGTCATTATTTTCTATTTATTGTTTTACTTTTATGAAATTTCTAGACCACTAACTCACATGGGCTCATCTTTACTAGTTTCTAGTTAACATTATTAATGCTAAATCCTACCTACTAATTCCTTCTAATATTAGCGACAAACTTATTCCTGTTTGAAAGAATAAAGTTTATTTATATGGTATCCGTAGTACACTAAAACCTCGTTGCTACTTAAAAAATTATTAATTTAAAAGGTTATTAGTTAATCGATAAAATGTTAATTTATAGAGAGATAATTCTGTTTTAGTAAAAATTTTCTTTTAAAAAAAATCAAATGT